ATTACATGGCATGTAAGTGGCAGAGTCAAGATTCTTAACCAGTGTATTAGCTGCTTCCCTGGGAGACGTCACATGTGTATTTGGGGCTCAGAATTCTCCAGGGGTCTTCACAAAGGTGGTATTTAACTTCGTCCACTACGTCAGGGTGAGTGATGCCCTGCCACCGGACCGTCAGGCACCTGTCGGGCAGCTGCCACTGATAGAGCAGGGATGTCGGGATGCTGATCAACCCCTTTCTGTCTCATTTCTGGGATGCTTCGTCCCTGGCTGAAGCACTGCAGTAGCAGGTTTACAGATGAAGCTGTGTTGTGGCTGTCACTTTCATCTTTCATGCCAAGAAGTACAAGGCAGAGAGTGCTGGCAGACGGCCCGTCTGGGCTGTGGCAGAGCAGTAGGTGTTGAGACCCAAGCTGACATGCTTGAGCACCTTTCAGAGGGCTTTTGTCAAATCCCACCATTTGCAGTCATCCTGCAGAATTGGTTCTTTCTTCAGGAGATTTGATTCCCAATCCCATCATGTGTCAAATATCACCGTCATCTGACAGCCTTTTAAATGTCCATATTGCTTCTGAGAGTGAGTGGAAAAGGAAGGAGGTGGACAGGGGAAGGTCATGCCATTCTCGGTTGTTACATTCGGTGTCAGGTACAACAGAAACCAAGGGCATTTAAGCCCAAACGACCTTGGTAACTTGATCTCTCACATTCCATGTGTTCCAGCCAAGGAAATAAACACTGGTGTAAAATGTTGAAGAGATGCTTAACACTTTTATGTTACAAAGTGCTTTTACATTATCTGAGCCTCATCACACTCTTTACAGGTGAGAAAATTGAGCTTCAGGGAGAGGAAACATGTTGTCAAAGATTCTCCACTTAGTAGTTGGCACAGTCGAGGTGGGGGCCTCAGAAAGCAGCAAGGACTTCGGTGTTCCATGGACATGGGTTCCAGCCTCACTTCTGCCACTACTGGCTTTGGTTGTCTCCAGGCCTCGCTTTCCTCCGCTTTTAAATGGGCATCATCACAGTACCTACCCCATTATGTTCTTGTGAGGGTACAAGTACATGATACATAAAAAGCTTGGCAGAGTACCTAGCACAAAGAGATAAATAGGAATGGTAGCTATTAGTATTAGTTCAATTCTCCATCCATTAGGAATGAATCTGGCTTCAACTAATAGAATAGTCAAGCAATGTTGACTTAAAAACAAATAGGAGTTCCTTTCTCTTACAGTAAGTGTGAAGGCAGGTAGTCTTGGGCTGGCTAGCAACTGAATGATACTATCAAAGACTGTTTACCTTCTTTCATTCCATCCTAGTCTCCACTGCATGTTGATTTGCTGCCTCATGGTTGCAAAGTGGCAGCTGCAGTTCCATCCACCATGTTTGGGGGATATTTCCCCTTTAGTAAGGAAAGCAAAAGCTTTCCCAAAACTAACTACCAACCACAGCAGACATCTGTTTTTTTCTCATTGTCCTGAACTATGTCTTCTGATTCTCAGTAACTGCAAGGACACTTGGAAAGTGAGTGTTTAACTTTTCAGACTTAATTGTACAAGTGGCAATGAAGAAGATAGATGAGAATAGGAGTAGATTAGGCCAACTGTATTTGCCACAGTTCTTAATGCCTCTTACAATGTCATTAAAATTTTTTTGTTTAACTAGTCCTTAGGTGTAGAGAGCTTAGTTAACCCTAATCATGTGTTCATGGCACATGAACAGCAAAGTCTCTTTTCTGGACTAAGTCCATTTAATTTTCACAAAATGTGTACTATTTCATGTTCATCTATTTTTTTCTTAACTTTTTTATTGAAATACATATACACTAGAGTGCACAGATGTTCCTAGATGGCTCAATAGATTTTTGCTATTTATCTTCAATTAAAGTACCACTCAGATTAACATAGAATATTCCCACATTCCCAGAAACTTTTCTCTATTTTCCCTACTCTGTTAATACTCCCTCCCGAAGGTAACCATTATTCTGATCTGTATCCTTATAGGTCTGTTTTACATGTTCTTTGACTTCATTTAACTGGAGTTGTACATTCGTATGTAGCCTGTAGAATCTCATGGACAGAGGAGCCTGGCAGGCTACAGTCCATAGTCTTTTTGGATGTGATGGTTCATTCATCTGTGAGACTCATCTGTTACTGTAGGTAGTGGTAGTTCATTTGTTTCCTGCTCTCTCTGTATGCTTTGTCTCCCTGCACAGACTTGGAGTAAGTGGTATTATGAGAACCAGAATAGCACAGATATGGAAGTTACCCCTTTTCCACTCGTGGTGGAGGATACTCGTGGAGTATCCTTTCCTCATAAATCCACCCACTTTGATTTCTCACAAAGCTCACCTGGGCATGGCTCCCTCCAGCACCATGTCTACTTTAAAAGGAATCTCTTGGGGACTTGTACGTTTGCCTTGGATGCTCTCAGCATAAAAGCATTTTCTTGGAACACTTGAAGAGGGTGGAAGAGGAGAGTAAGAGAGCAGTGCTTCCTGAAAGGACGTTTTTAGTCAAAGGAAAAAAGTGCCAACTAAAGTCATCATTTGAAACTTAAGTCTGGAAGCCAGCCTTTGGAGTAGAGATTTAGGTTGGTCTTCCAGTGTTCTCCCCTACTAACAGTCTCCATTCAGGGCTCAAGGGCAAAAGAAACAACTCTGTCTGTCTCGGGGCTGGGAAAGCTGGTTTGAATTCAGGCTGACTCTGAGAAGTCTTCCTTCCCCCCAAGGCTCTGACTGGTGGGCTTTCCTAGCAAAGCCAGCATGACTATCTTTACAAAATAAACATTCAACTCCAGGACAAACTTGAGAGCAGGAATAAAGCTAATGCTTTTCAGTGGAGTCTTAAATGAAGATGAAAGGGACTAAATAGTTATTCCTGCAAGTATGGTCATGTCTAGGAATCAAGTAGAAAAATTCAAACTATGCACATTAGCTCTAGTGGCTGGTCATCATCGTCTCTCTTTAGGTATCTGCTGGTTCTGAGCCTTGTGTCTGCTGGGATAATGAATTAGAATATTCAGCAGAGACTTAATCACGGGTTCTTTGCTTGGCAGCTAGAGCACACTGCGAAGGGACTAGTTTGGCAAGTTGGGTCATCTTCAGGCACTGCGGTTCAGGTCCAACATCCCTCTGTGTTTGTGTCGGTGGGCACAGAGGATTAAGGGGATGAACCATTGAAATCTACTGCCTCTAACGTCCGATGACCAGCCTTGAATTCAGCAAGATTTACTGCTAATGACTTTAGAAAGTTTTAATAAGTTATTGAGTAATTTCTGTATCTCTTGCCCTCATGAAGGGCTTTTCATATGTTATTTCAATTATTCCCCACATAGGACCTTGTTGTTTATCCATTCTATAGATAATAGTTTGCACCTACTGATCCCAAACTGGGGAGATAGGTAAAGTTGTTCCCATTTATGCAAATCAATAAATTGAGGATTAGAGAATTTAAGTTACCTGCTAGTAAGTAACAGGTAGTAAGTAGTAGGTTTGAGAGTCAACACTAAGTCTTTCAGATTCCAAAGACTGTACACTTTGTAAGATCAACTAGCTTTTAAAAATAACCCCTCTGTATATATACGGTGAAATACTACTCAGCCATAAAAGATGAAATAATAATGCCATTTGCAGCAACATGGATGCAGCTAGAGATTATTATACTAAGTGAGGTAAGTCAGAAGGAAAGACAAATAGCATATAATATAACTTACATGCAGAATCTCAAGTGTGACACAAGTGAACTTCTCTATGAAACAGAAACAGACTCACAGATACAGAGAACAGACTTGTGATTGCCAAGGAGAGTAGGGAGGGAAGAACTGGGAGTTTGGGATCAGTAGGTGCAAACTATTATCTATAGAATGGATAAACAACAAGGTCCTACTGTATAGCATAGGGAACTATATTCAATATCCTGTAATAAACCATAGTGGAAAAGAATATGAAAAATATATATATATCTGTATAACTGAATCACTTTGCTGTATACCAGACATTAACACACATTGTAAGTCAACTCTATGTCGATAAAATAAATTTTAAAACAACAAAAAGTAAATATATAACTAAAAGTAAAAATAACCTCTTGCCTTTCTGATGAGCCAGCCCTCTTGTCAGCCCTTGCCTTCCCCTCATCCCAGCACATGCTCTTCAGAGTTTGTCCGATAAGAGACTGGTTGTCGAACAGCTAAAAGCTGTAAATGCTTTGTCACTTACTTTGAATTTATTGTTGAATTGTCACTGTAACACAATTATATTTTATTAAGGAAATTTTTTAGAATATTTAAAACCATAGAGCTTAATGGAAAACACTCTGATGGATAATAAGAAGACTGGTTTCAATCCTTAATGTCACCTTGAATCAAAACAAGCTGTGAGACTTTGGATACGGACTTAATTTCTGTGTGCCCATTTCCGTCCTTTGTGAAATGAGGAGGTTAAAGTATGTGATTACTAATGTCTCTCTCTGTTTGAAAAACCTGGGCCTCTGTGCCTCTTCTTGTTTTGTTCTTGTGATTCTAAAATGGCTTCAGAGTACAAATATTTCTGAAAGGAGCCTTAATTACTAAATGCAAATCAAGAGAAGTGGATAACATTGGGGCTTTCAGAATTTTTTGGAATATATAAGTTCTTTACTCTTCCAAGCAAAGCTACATTTTCCACTGCATTTCTCAGTCCAACATTCCCACCAAAAGAAAAGTGTATAGTTTCTTAAATGATTCATATTGGAACTTAGATTCCTTGAGGGTCTGGCAAGCTTTAATCTTGGATAAGGTGATGTAAAATATTGCCAATAGCCAACCTCAGGTTGCCAACCCAAAATATAAGTCCCTCCTTGTTCAGTATATGAATTTATAACATAAACCATTTAAAATTCTACCTGGCACTGTTGAATAGAATTGACACTGTTGGGCAACTCTGTAAAGAAGAAATAAGGCAATATTGTGGTCCAAGTAGTTAAGAATATGCTACACTTAAAGAAAATTTTACTGCATCATTTCAGACCCAATAAAGAAAAAACTGGCCATGTGAGTGACTCAGGATCATCTGTCATCAGACATGGGCTTAATCCGGAGAAGGTCTTCATGCAGGTTCATTACTTAAAGGTAAGCGTCTCTGAGTGACAGAAGCCAGTTATTATGGTGCAGGACTTTTTAGATTTTACATGTGAACAGTGAAGGTTAGTAACATGGTTGGGGCAAAACAAACATATCGTCAACATTGTAAATGACATTTGATTGAGCAGATTCTGATCGTCCACCCAGCATGAAGCCTGAATCAAAGGAAGATGAACTGTTCCCTTCCCTGGATCTCCCTTCTTCCTGCTTCACGTCAGCCTTGAAGAGCAGAATCTTACAATTGCTGTCAGGTTCCCACTAGAAGACTGGAGTGATTTTTTTTTTTTTTTTAGTATTTAAATTTGTAAAATCCTTTTCTGATAGCTAAAGGAGAGAGGAGCTGGGCCCCTTTTCCCTATTGGTCCGTAGTGGACATCCAGGTCTCATGTAAGCTGAAGGTAAATGAGAAAGTGACAACTGAGTTGAAACAGAGTAGTTGATCCTTAAATTCCAAACCCAGCGCTACTAGTAACAATGCAAAGGGCTGCCGGAGACAGGTCAGTCCAAACGTTCTAGGTGAACATAGTGTGCTGGTGGGTAAGTTAGAGTTGATTTTGTAAGTATTTTTCTGATGAACCATGATGGGCATCTTTTTTTCTCCTTCCTTTCTTCTAGGGCTATTTCCTTCTCCGGTTCCTTGCCAAAAGACTTGGAGAGGACACCTATTTTTCATTTTTAAGGAAGTTTGTGCACTCTTTTCATGGGCAGCTGATTCTTTCTCAGGTAATTAGTGAGTCCTTTTGAGTCCATGATATACAGCTGGAGAGGGTGTGGCATGTGGTAACTAGATTGTGTATTAAAAAGTAGGGAAAAGATTTACATTTCCATGCAATAGGAAAAATAGGAAGTTAATGAAGTGAACACAGAAGTGTTTCTGGGAGTGTCATCACCTGGTCTTTTAGGACATACTGTAACCCAGAACTGTCCTATGTGCACAGTGCTGTGGGTAGTTGCACCTGAAGTGAACTTGAAAACCAAAAACAAAGCGATTCCCACTGTCTCCTCCACCTGGAATGAGTTTTGCCAGGTTGGTGCCTTCTCGTCCTCTGTCTTAGCTTCAACACCACCATCCCAGAGTCCCTCTTGCTGAACAGAAATGCGTCCACCCTGTTCTTCTCTACCCTCTGCCCTTTTCATTGTCTGCATTGCCATCACCATTCTTCAAAATTATATTTTCCTTTCCGGGTTCATTTGTTTCTTTTCTCTCCCTTCCATTCTGTGTGTGAGCTCAACAAGGCCAGACCGTGTTCTTCATTTCACTGGTCCTTAGTATATGATTCACACACAGTATGTGCACCATATGTATTATAAATAGATTAAAAACAAGATACACTGAAATATTCAGACAACCTGAGCTGTCAGAGAGAGACTCTGTCAGTTTAGCCAGGTGTTAGGCCGAGCTGCACAAAGCGAGAAAGTTAACAAAGAGGCAGAGGTGCTGAAAACAGCACTCGTCGCTGATAGAGAATCAAGGATGCAGTCTCAGCACAGATTAGACGGTTGTGTTTGTGTGTGTGTGTGTATGACAGTTGTGCTCATATACAGTTTTGAAGTCAAATTGTGCACAATGTTAGATGCAAAGGGTGTGCATGTATAAGCCAAACACACATGCAAGGAATAGCGTGAGTGTAACACGACTAGATAGCTATTCTGTGTCTCCACACTATTTTCTTTGGTTGAGATAATGGGGGCATATTTCTAAACATGTGTTAGGAAAGGGAGCTTGAAAACTGGCTCAGGAGTCTTATATGGTTGGGGGACTGACCAACCCAAACTTCTTCTCACCAAGATACTACAGAGTTGAAGGAGTGCGTTAGGTTTACCACGACCATTCTCACAACAGCTTTCCATGGAACACTTGGTGCTCCCTCTGCCAAACTTTCCATTTTACTTCTGTTTAACTCTTTTGAATTATAGCTTTATTGTTTTTTCATAACAGTGTTATTGAGATACAATTCACATACCATAAAATTCACCCTTTTAAAGTGTACCAGTCAGTGGTTTTTAGCATATTCATAACATCACTGCTATCTAATTCCAGAACATTTTTATCACCCCAAAAGAAATCCCACAACTATTAGCAGTCACTTCCCAATTTCCACCTCCCCTCCCGTTGTACACAACCACTCACCCATTTTCTGTCTCTACGGATTTGCCTGCTCTGGACATTCTGTATAAATGGAGTCATGTAATAGTGTGGCCTTGTGTGACTGGCTTCTTTCATTTAACATATTTTCAAGGTTCATGTTGTAGCATGTATTAGTACTTCATTTCTCTTTTTTAATTTTACTTTCTAACCTCTTAAATTGTGATGAAATATACATAAGAAAATTATCATTTAAACCATTTTAAAATGTATACTTAATGCATTAAGTACGTTCACATTGTTGTCAACTATCACCATCATGTATCTCCAGAACATTTTAATCTTCCCCAAATGAAACTTGTATCCATTAAACAATAACTCCGCATTCTTCCCTCCCCCCAGCCCCTAGCAACCACCATTCTATTTTCTGTCTCTGAGTTTGACTATTATAGACACCTCATGCAAATGGAATAATATAATATTTGTCCTTTTATATCTGGATTATTTGAGTTAACAAAATGCCTTCCGGTTTCATCCCTGTTGTATAGCATGTGTTGGAATTTTCTTCCTATTTGTTTTTATTTATTTAGATCATATCACATAGCTTGTGGGATCTTAGCTCTCCAACCACGGACTGAACCTGAACCCTTGGCAGTGAAAGCACAGAGTCCTCGCCATTGGATTGCCAGGGAATTAATTCCCTTAATTCCTTTTTAAGAATCAATATTTCTGTAGTATACATGTACTACATTTGGTTTATCCTCTCATCCAATAATTACCCCCTTGGCTCTTGTGAATAATGTTGCTATGAACATTAGTGTACAAATATCTGTGAGAGTCCCTGCTTTCAATTCTTTTGAATATATACCTAGAAGTGGAATTGCTACATTATATACTGATTTAATTTTTTTAGTAACTGCCATACTGTTTTTCCACAAGGGCTACATTATTTTGCATTCTCACCAGCAATGCACAAGGGTTCCAATTTCTCCACATCCTTACTAACACTTGTCATTTTATTTTTTGATAATAGCCATCATAGTGGATGTGAATTTCACTGTGGTTTTAATTTGCATTTTTCTGGTAGCTATGCTGAGGATTTTTTCATGGACTTATGGGACATTTGTATATCTTTTTTGGAGAAATGTCTGCATATATGCTAAATTGCTTCAGTCGTGTCCGACTCTTTGCAACCCTATGTACTGTAGCCCACCAGGCTCTTCTATCTATGGGATTCTCCAGGCAAGAATAATGCAGTGGATTGCGATGCCCTCCTCCAGGGGATCTTCCCCACCCAGGGACTGAACCTGTGGCTCTTATATCTCCTGCATTTGCAGGCAGGTTCTTTACTCACTAGCACCACCTGGGAAGCCCTAGGAGAAATATCTATTGAGATCCTTTTCTGATTTTTTATTTGGGTTGTCTTTTATTATTGAGTTATAAGTATATATTCTAGATTCAAGTTCCTTATCAGATATATGACTTAAAAATACTTTCTTGCCTAATTAAAAAGTTACTCCTATGTTTGTTCTAAGAGCTTAGTCATTCTATTTCTTATAGTTAGGTCTCCTACCCATTTTGAGTTAATTTTTGTATATGGTGTAAGGTGGATGGCTCAGCTTCATTGTTTTTTGTGTGACTATCCAGCTGTCTCCCTTCCATTTTTGTTAAAAAGACTAGTCCTTCCCTCCATTGAATTGTCTTGGCATCCTTGTTGAAAATCAGTAAACGTAAGAGTTTATTTCTGGTCTCTCAATTCTAAATTCTGTTGATCTCTATTTCTGTCCTTCTGCCAGTCCCACAGTAAGTTTGGAAATTATTGCTCTTTCAACTGACACATACTCATTATAAAAAGCTTAATAAGCAACACAGAAAAGTACAATGAATGTAGATATCATTCAAAATCTCACTGTCCATAAATACTTAAAATTAAGAGTAGGTGAACATCATTCTAGAAGTTGCATTTCTTTTCTCCATTTCTATCTTTCTATATATGTTGTGTGTGTGTCTGTGTCTGGGTGTGTTCAGTTGCTCAGTAGTGCCCGATTCTTTGCAACCCCGTGGACTAAGCCCACCAGTCTCCTCTGTCCATGGGGTTTTTCCAGGCAAGAATACTGGAGTGGGTTGCCATTTCCTACGTGCCTGATCGTACACACATTGATAGATAGATGTATTTAGAAATAGTTTTATAAAAATAAACTATGTGCTTTTACTGAAAATATGTTTTAAATTTTATTTTACTTGAATTTAACACATGAAAAAGAAACTAAATTGAATATAAAAGACTTTCTTGAGCTTAAGATAAATATGAGAGATCATTTCCTAAGAGATTCTTCTACAGTTAAGAAACACAATTACAAAAAATCTTTTAGAGGTTGAAATTGTCAGTTTTTTCCTCTTTAGATATATATCTTAATTTTGGAAAGTATCAATTTATTCTCATATATTAACATTAATATAAAAGATGAGGAAATCAGTAGTTATGTTTCAACTACTTTTTCCCTGGTTCTAGATTTTTCTTAATTTTTTTACATAGTTCATGTTTATATCATTTATAGTATGTGATGTTACTGTAATTTTCACAGTTGTATAGTCCTAGTTCTGTATTTAAAGGATTTCATTATTCACTAACAGTCATTTTACCCTGCTTCTATATTTATGAATCCTTTCTTTTGATTCAACACTTTGTTGGCTAAATTTTGTTGTTAAATCGAAGTTCAAGTTGCTTGAGAATGTTTGCCTGTTGCCTTTATATTTGAATTACAAACTGGCTGGGTATAATATTCTTGGGTCATATTTTTATCTCCTCAGAACATTGTGGCTACGCTCAACTGCCTTCTGGCATTAAATCCTGCTGTTGAAACTTTTAAAATCAGTCTGTTTTATCCTGTTTATACCACTCAGATGACAGAAGAATTCTTTACCTTTGATGTTTATTAATTTAATCCAAAATGACTTGGTGTTCATGAGTCTGCATCAGGTTTGTTTTGCTTTTTTCCTGGAAAACACTACATCTTTAGACTCAACATCTATTCTTCCTTGTTTCAGTAAATTATCTTAATTGTATCTTTGAACACATTCATTTTTTTTCCCCGTACAGTATTCTGAATTTCAAGGTTACTGGTTATCTTTGTCATATCATCATTGTCCTCCATACATGTTATTTTCTAGTTATTTGCTTTTGTCTTTTTGTTCTTCACAGAATATGTTTATCTCAAGCACTATTATTTTATTATTAATGTTATTATTATAACAGTATTATTATTTTTCTTTAATGGCTATTCTTTTTCTTGATGTTTCCATTTTATTAATGCTCCTATGGTGGTATTAATTTATTCCCTTTGCTTTGAAATCTCTTCCTCTTGTTTTATCATTTTGTCATCTTGTCTTTGAGTTTTCATTTTATTGAATTTATGTTCTTATTCAGTTCAGTTGCTCAGTCGTGTCCAACTCTTTGCGACCCCATGGACTGCAGCACACCAGGCTTCCCTGTCCATCACCAACTCCCAGAGTTTACCCAAACTCATGTCCATTGAATCAGTGATGCCATCCAACCATCTCATTCTCTGTCATCCTCTTCTCCTCCCGCCTTCAATCTTTCCCAGCATCAGGGTCTTTCACCTAACATTCCAGGTTC